AGTGTATTATTTCACTTAGCATACGTTATAATCTTTAAAATCGGGACAATGTTGCAAGGATCAAATGATATTGATAGTCTCGAATTTTATGAGTTAATTTCTCAAAAAGAATTTGATTTTTCATTTCCCCTTTTTCATTTACAAATCTTTTAATTTCGAGGATTACGATTTGGTTTTTTTTCTTTATTATTGGGAGCTTTTTTAAATAAACCCCGAATTTCGATTTCAGTAAAAGTTGCAATATGGGAAGCGCAATTGTTAGAATACGCTGAACCACTTGCAAAAGCTTCAAAGGGACTTAGTATTGGTAGGATTCCTTTGAAGCGAAAAAATGTACTGATGCAAACTGGTACTTTATTATCACTTAGGTGAGTAAATCATTTCATCTGTCATTTGAAATCTTCCCTCATATGTTATTCCATTTTCCGCTGGTACCTGCTCTCATATTGCAGTGTACTTTCTTAGTTTTACTTTCAATCTTCATCCTACTTTTACTCAGCTGTCGTAATTGACAAAAGATTCAAGCTGATTCCACAGTTTATAGCTCTTGTATAACAACCAATAGTATGATAATTCGTAATTTCAAAGTTGCATTCCGAGTTATAACTGTATCAGGCGGTTACAATTTTGATAATGTTATGTAAATTTTATTACACTCTATTACTACTTCTATACTCTTTCTTTTTTTATCTATGCTCATCAGAAAAGGACTTTTTTTTGTTATTACTCTAAATTATCAAATGGTGTAATTAATTTTTTCTTGTTTTTAGGCATTCAATTAATTTAAACACAAACTTGATTGATTCCGATTTTTATTGGGAGAAGCAAGACTTGGAACCATATTATAGGATGGCTTTAAAACATTTCGCCGTTGCCGGCCGACGAAGGTGCATGAGCTAATTAATTTTCATTCTTGCTGAATTTTTTGTCTTTATTCTTCTCCCAAGAATTTAAGGCACTGTTTTAGAATTCGCTCTTTTCAAGCTGCAATGAAACTTGCTACTTTTTCAGAATGTTAAATGCGCAGTTAGATTATTGTAGTGAAATACTGAAAGTGGTGAACGGTATGCAAACTCATAATTGCGTACGTTTTTAATTTTTGTTGAATTTAATAAATGGAATTGATCTGAGATAATTTTCGTAATGATAACGATAGCAACAATGATAATGATCTGTGTAACGCATGCATCTCATTTCACTGTTGCTTTCTAATTTATGGGAAGTGTAAGCTGAAATAGTTGTTATCAAATAATTGGTGGCAGTAATTAAGACGATTGGAAATGTTCAGTGTAGATATCACTAATGTAGCTAGTTTAACGGATTTTTCATGATTACTCAGGTCAATGCTTCTTAAAAATTTATAAATTAAAAAGTTTTTCCTATTGGTCAGCTGCCTTCCGTAACCGTTTCTTTGTTAAATTCCGAACTTTCACATTTCATATTGACTCTGCATGTTTCCTAAGAGCACCGAATCTCGCCATTTTTAAGTTGCTTTTATCATTTAACCAAACGGATTCGAATTTTAAAATAATAGTTTTAAAAAAATACCCACTGAACTCCATAACTTAATGAATTATAATCATATGATTTCAAATTTTCAGGAAGCACGACTGGAATGGATGATTATTTATCTTATTGTAATCGAAGTATTCTTTGCGATAATTGATCATTTTGGTTTTAATTTGGGTCCTCCACAAAAGGTTTTTATTGATAACTGTGAAGAATTAATAAACGGTATCAATGAAGCAGTGCAAAAAAATCGATGATTAGCAATATTTCTATGCTATGTCCCTCTATCTCTCTTTTTTCCGTGTTCTAGTTGTTATTTCACGACAGCATATTATGATTATCTTAATCCATTCGTACTTATTATAATTAACATTCTTTTAATTTGTCGTAATTGTGTCGTTAATTTTTAGTTTTTTTCTTTTTTTTTAGTTTGATTTTGTTTTTTTACAAGTTTCTTACCGTATTTTTGGTATTATTACCTGTTTAACACACTATCATAGCCGAATAGTATTTCCATACGAGATTCCATTCGGTTATATTTTGTTCGATTATCATAACTATCTTTAAAATTTTTAATATGTTTAATTTCAAAAGTTTATGTTGTTACTTTTTTTTTAATTTCAAAATCCTGTATTCTTTTTTTTTTTTTTTTTGAATGCATTTTCGCAGGTTTCAACTTATTTGTTTTATTGCGATTATTGATTTCGTATGATCATATAATGTAACTATTATATGTTATCATCACACTTTGTTATATTATCATGATTTACTGTGATGATTCATTTTTTTTTAGCTAGCTAGTTTTTGTTGAATATTCCTATTCCAAATTTAGTAATTCATATTTAAATTGTTGAATAACTTTGAAATGAAAGATTAACAATGATCAACTCATTACTGATTAATTATCTTGCCGGTAGTCAAGAAAATGCCTAACATCTGAAACTTAGAGTGTTATTGAAATGTGTGGATAAGTTGAAAATCATCACTAAACTATCATCAATTCAGGTTCAATTGACTTATATTGTTAGTGTTTTTTAAACTTATGTAATTTGCATGATCTTGTCCAATATGCTTACTTATTTTATAAATATTGAAATTGTTTATTCATTGCAATTTCAAAAATTAATTAATATAATTCCACATTTATACAATAAAACTTCGACACATTTCAACAAAAGCCTCAAATTTCCATTGTTTTTTTTCTTTTGATATGGTAAACAAACGTGCTTATTCGTAAAAACAGAAGAAATAAAAATGACAGAAATGTTGGTAAAATAAAACTGAAAATAAAAACAAAAAAAAAAAAAAAATAGGAAAAATAAGAAATGAAGAAAGTAAAAATTTTGTTAGAATAGAATGA